ATTTTTACAACTCCTCCATAAATCCCCTCACATCAATAGTACCTCATCTAATAAGATTTGCTCTGGGTTAATCTACCCCAAAATCAGCTCGGCAGTAAAAGATATCTGGCGGTCATCACACTTTCACGACATTCATCGAGAAATATTAAATATAGCATGCCACAAATAAAAATTTTTCATCCCTAGATAGAATTCACATCAAACTTAGATGACCGATCTCGAGTTAATTAGAAGTTATCGACAATGGGAAGCAATTTGATTGCAGCTGTTAGTAGAGAGGAAATGTTCGCAGCAGTTCTTTTCAATTTTGGGGTTTTTAGATTTTTTTTCCGTTGACACATCTAGATTCCGACAAATTTATTATGCCATGTTGTGGCTAAAATATTTTGTCAAATTTCTATGAATTTTTCGAAATATTAAAAAATGAGAAAATATTTCTCATGCATAGCAAATTGAACTGCCAATAATATAGCGCAATGTTTTCTATGGTCTTAATCGTCCGGTGGATTATGCCAAGTTTTGGTGATAACTCCATTGATGATTAATATCACGCTTCCTACAAAAAATCAAAGAGAAGTGTCGATATTAAGCGGACTGCATTTTTCAAGAAAAATATAACTGCAATATATCGTCAAGGAGATAGTTGAAGGTTTCCGTCTAGGAATTGAGAACTCTAATTTTTAGAGTTCAAAAATTCGTATTTGGAAAAAATGATTTACCGTCGCCTATATATTCTTCTGTATCGATTGTGTCGTATTGGACATAAATGATAACAGCAAGACTGCCATGGTCTTAAATCCAATTTTGGGATATGTGCGCAGGAGTTATAGGATTGAAAATGTCTACCGACAAAGATGAAAACGTCTCGCTGAAAAAAATGAGTCAAATAAACCGGAAAAGTGGGAAAATTCCTAAAAATGGTAAGTACATTCTAATAATAACTGATTGAAATCAATTATCGGAATGAACGAAGCATTCATTCCACAGCCTGATAAGGATGAATGGAATATTGGTCTTGAACAGCTAGCTGATGCAATTCGGAATTCGTCGAAGTCTTGCATATTAAAAGTCTTGCATATGTGTAACTACAAGTCAACGACAAAAAAGAAATGACGTGTGGGAAACATGATTAAGATTCATAGGAAAACCTCAACTCAAAATAGCATAATAAATAGTGCTTACTTGTACATTGGTGATATTATCAGCATTGTCACAAATAATCCGAGCCAGTGATACCTTTTTTATCTCCTTCCTCTGAGCTTCATTAAATACGTCCTTTTTTTCGTACCTAAAAGTTGTACTTTATTATTTACAATTCAAATACTAAACTACTTGATAAAATCGGAGATATACTATTAAGAATTTTGTTTTGAACTGAAGGTTTCCACCCAGGAATTGAAAACTCTAATTTTTAGTTCTAATAAAACTGTTTTGAATTTTAAAAAAATTTTTTTTTAAAATGCATTTGAAAAATTCAACGAACCAAAATCTGTCACCATCGCGTATACGTCTGAACTGTTCAGCAATGATACATGAAAATGTTGGACCAGTCAGTGCTCCATCGAATCGTTTCTCTGCTACACCACCAGCGAACAAGTCGATATTACCTAACAAGTACAAATATACAGATATACAGATACAGCTGATATAGCTTGATATCTTCTCCCAATGATCCTGTTGATCATTCTACTATCAAATGAAACAAATCTTTAGAAGAGCATTAAATTCATATAAAAATTAAAAGCTTCTTTTTTTTAAAGCAAATTTCCTCTACACAAACCCATCATCGGTAATCGGAAACTCTAACCCGGATGACCATATAAATCTTTCAATTTTTGAATGATTTCGCGTTCCATTATATTCCTCAAATCATCCCAATTTTCCACCGGTGATAGATTACACCATTTTCGAAATTCGACATACCTGAAAAGAGAAACATGAATAGTCTTTTCAAGAATATGAATTGTTGGATATATCATGTTAAAATAGATCAATTGAACATATTCAAATGATTTATTTCGTGATTCTAAATCTCAATTTTTTTTTTGCTTCAAAACTATCATTTAAATAAAACAAGCTTCCTCACCCTTACCCGGGAAGAGCATGATCACGACCTCGCTGTATATTCATTGCAGCCAAATCCAATGATACCGGAAATGAAAAAATTTTGTTGAAAAAGTAAGAAATTTTCAAACATCGATCAACATTCGTGCATCTTCATAATTTACTGTCCATGAATTTAACAAAAAAATTCTACAGCTTCCCAATAATTATTTTTTCCCCGTTTTATCTTTCTCTCTGAAAGTTGAGACTACTCAATTTTAACTTTCTTTTGCTAGCCCTATTCTTCATATTTAAAAAAATTTGAAAAAAAGCACAAGTCACTCAATGAAGGAAAACAGATGACCTTTAGTCTCAAATTTGCAGTGCATTTTCAAACTAATTCGTACACGCTCGAAAATAATTGCTATATTCATTAAGACTTCAACGTAATCAAAAAACAAATGAATTGTATTTATTAAGTTAAGCTATAACTCATGCTTACTTCGTGTGCTTGATTGAATAAATTCTCAGTAAGTTCATCATTCACCAACTCATTCGATATCGGCTTCTTCATCGGTGTTGCAAACAACCCACGCAAATATGGATCAACACTACCCGTTGATAACAATATTTCCGGTGCAAAGAAAGCATCCCTCAATAGTATATGTCCTTCCTTAATTGGTGCTAAATTTTTGTCAAATCTAAAATACAAATACAATCCAACATTCAAAAACTTATATTATTCGCAAAATATGAATATCATACTACTATACACAGTTTGAAATCTTATAACTAATGCCTGTTATTTCTTCATTCATTCCTATAATTCATACCGATAAATTGGATAAATTTTATATTTAACTCCAATTACTCTATCATAATCATACATCTTTTCAAGCTTGTATGAATAAGTGTTTAATATGTTGAACATTATTTTAATCTGGAATTGTACAAATTCATTTGAATTTTATTCAAATAAAATAAAAATCCTTATTTAAACCATAATTTGCATTTCACTGTAATGAAAGCACAAAATAAAATATTTCAAAAAAATTAATAGAAGTATTGAGATTATACACACCTATAAAGAATCGGATTAACCAATGTATGTCCAAAACGAAATGCTGCTGTCGCAAATGCGTTCGATATGCTAGCATCCAGCAGTGGTTGATAGGCTCTGTATGGACCAATCAATTTATCAAATTGCTTCTAAAATATTGAAGTTCATTAATATATCTTTTGGCAATAATCAATCTGGAAATATCAGAATTTTATGGACATCAATTTTTATTCCAGTTACAAATGTAATAGTATCTTACTTTTTCAAATAAATTCTAATTTTAATTTGATTTGTATTTAAATTAACATTTTAAAAATAAACTTTTCCAAGAACTTTTGGTAGCCAGTAATGAAAGGTAATATGTTGCAATTCAGCGCCAACAATTTTTCGAGTTTCATGAAAAATCGTTTCACCATCGAGATCAGGATTTAAGTCAGCAATTTGCATTGCTAGTCTATTATGCTCGCGCATAAAAATTGTATGCATAGTCATTAATCCTAGCTGTAAAGAAACAATTTTATTTGTTGAAAATTTCATTACATGATAAACAAAATAAACTACGCATAAAACTTCATTATTGACCAAACAATTCTCTTTCTAAGCAAACAGGACAAACTTTGTTAAATTATTATTTACTGTCAATATGCTATTTCTTCTAACCTGTTCATTAGCTCTAAAATCTCCAGCCAGAAAACATCGCACTGGATAGTTCAAAGTCCAATTTCGTCGACAATCAACGGATGAATCGCGTTCAAATGGCAAATAAGGCTTATTTGCTGATGATACCATATCATATCTATTTGTGTTTTTTCTCTTTTGCATAAATGAAGTAAAATAGCAAAATTCTTTTTAAGTACAACAAAAAAAAAACGAAAAAATGACAATTTACTGAAAAAGAAAATATGATATGAATATTTTATTCTTTTGCTTCTTCATCGTTTTTACTTTTTTATCTCAAGAAGCTTAATATATTTTAGTATTTGATCAGATAAATACATCAAAATATTTCTAAAGGAAAGGAAATCAATATGATTAATATCAGAATATTACATTCATTACCTGAGCAAGCCTCGATCCGGACTTAAATCACGCAAATCGTACGCATCTTCTTCCATACTACCGTATATTCCCGAAGCGTCAATGTAACTTGTAATCTGTAAAAAAAACTCTACTCCTTTTGATGATGAAAATTTGCAGTAACAATTTCGCTAAGTCTCAATGCATAAAAAAAAGTAAATTTACAGTGTTCATTTGTTCACGATAAGTAACATGACGATAAATTAGAG